TTTATCTTTGTTAGTCTGAATTCTTGTTCATCTTTACAAATTTGATACCTCCTTCAACCAATGATTTTACAATTCCATTTTTTGTCTCGAAACCTCGGATGTTTCTAAAAATTTGTTATGGTGACTGGTGTGGAAAGAGGAGGAGGAAGAAGGCATTGAGTTAGAAGGAGACAATAAGAAAGAAGATGAGGATATTTTAGTCTTTTTCTTTTTTATGGTTATTAAATTTAATATAAAAATTATTTTTTTAAAACATTCTCAAGATGAGCCAAACAAATTTATTGTAATCATCTTTGCATTACATTCCATTACCTATGATTCAATGAGCCAAACAGCCTCTAAATACTTTGTTAGATATGTTTAGTATCTTAAAATATTTTGTGACCCGTCTAACATCCTGAAATATTTTTTTTTTTAATGTACATTCACCATTGTAAAATGTTTGATGGTGTAATTTTGCTATTAAATTATCAATTTAAGGAAACATAAATGGATTAACAACAAAAACAAGGGATATTACAAGAAATATAAGGACACTAATGAAAAATGTAAGTGAATTAACAACAAAAATAAGGGGATTCACAAGAAACACAAAGACATTAACAAGAAATGTAAGTGAATTAACAAATAAATAGGCGTGTTAGTTCTTCTTCCAAGGCTTTATTGGTTTGAGAGAAAAATCAGCAAAATAATGGCCAGGTGCTAATGAGCAATAGCCTTATTCAACTTTGAAATAGTCTTCCGTTGGTAACCCCTCTTGGTTTCAGACTTGAGGCCGAATCAGGAAAAGGGAGTCGAGGCTACTGCCTTTTTTCCTTTTTAATTATACACAGAGAGGAAGCCCAGTGGCTTACCTGGATAAGTATGTCCATATGCATTCATAGTCAGCTGCGAATTCAACAATGTGTCAACAACCTCAGTTAAAATTAAACAACAAGCTTGATTTTTTTTTTTTTTAATACATACACAAAAGGTTAAACACGGGGATTAACCGTCGTGAATTTTCGCTTAGAAGACTTAAAACTCTGGATTTGCTTAAAGGAGACAGAGTATACCTGATATGCCGGATGTAGTTTTCATGACCTTTTGCTTGGTTCTATCACCGTGTAGTTCCACCTTCAACACTACTTTCTGCAGGAAAATAAATCGTCAAACCACCATATTAGTCAATTCAAAGGGAATCGAAACAATAATATTCATTCAGACTTGGAAGCAAGGACGTTTGAAAGAGCAGGGCATATATAGTTCTGACCTTCATTGTCGTTTGCGTTTTTGTTGACATGTTGAAGCTAATTTCAGAGTAGTGAAAGCTAAAGGGAAGGTAGGCTTGTGAAAAAGAGGAAGATTATTAGAAGATATGGTTCAGTGTGGTGAAGTGAAGATATATGGCAGCCTAATTTATAGATGTTTGGATGGAAGACTCCGAGTAAACCAAGTCAGAAATCTATCTTGACGCGTCGCTTAGAGTCGCTTGGGATGACGCGAAACATGAATGAGGTCATCATTTTTGAATTATTGATTCTTTGCTTTGTTTGCATTGTTAATGTTTAGGTTAAATGATTAGGTTACAATGTAAATTTATTATAAAAGCATTTACTTAAAACATTGAGCATCTGAAAGTTTTTTGGGAAATAAATTTACTCCAAAAATTTAAAAATAATATTATCCTATACTGTTAAAAATATTAATGATCACGTCATTATTTTAATGGTTAACGTTAATCTTTTGACCATAAAAAAATAAACAAAAAATGGATCGAACAAGCCAGTTCAACCGGAAAATCGATAAACCAGCTGTGGTCTGGTTTGGTTCAATCACTGAACCAGCTACATATCGAACAGGGAGTAAACTGGTGAAACCAGTAAAAACTGGTGTGAACCAATAATAAATCGGTTTGGATAATTATATTGTTATTGATACTATTTTTTTCTCATTTAGCTCCTAATATTTTAGTCATTATAAATTTAAATGAATTTTAATGATGATTTTGATATTAATAATAATTAATTTTAGTTATTAAGGAATTATAAAAATCAAAATTCTCAATATTGTTATACTTTATTATTGTTACAGTCAAACTATTGTATTTTCTTGTATTTTGTTACTAGTGATTATTATTGTTGTTATTTTTGTTATTTTTAATTAAACTATATTATTTTAATATGACTGGTTTGATTTCGGTTGAACCTCGGTCTGACCCGCTGACCCTTAAACCACTATCTCAAGGGGTTTAATGTTTGGTCTGGTTTTTTGTTCCTTAATAAAAAATAATATTATTGTAATTTTAAATTTCTAAAACAAACTTGTTCATAAAAAACTTTCGAATATTTATATCTTCTGGATAAAAACTTGGAAACAGATTTACCTTTCTAGTTCTATTTATAAGGTAGAAAGAGAAGACTTTTGTGGTTCTATTTATATGGCACTTAGAAAATTTTTCTATATGAATATATTATTTTATCTTTTATTTATTATTGTGTTGACTTTGTTTACGTGAGATATAATGTATATTAAATAGGGATAAAGTTACAAAGTTGTTAAATTTTAAATGAGAGTTAATGAAGTTTAAGATTTTTCTTAATCTGTGTGAAATAATCATTAGGTATTTCGCAAGGCGTTTGGACTCCAACATGACTTTTTCTTTGGCCTCGTAAATATAATTTTTTAAAAATAAAAGGTACATAAATAAAAGAGGTTTAATATATAACTTCATATTATAAAAAATATATAATTTCATGTTGAACACGATTGTCATGAATAAAAAAGTATAATAGAGGATAATTATGATTTTGATGGTAAAAAAAAAAAAAGATAATCATGATTTTAGGTAGTGGCCAGATAGGCCTTATCTAAAAGATCTAGATCCTCTCAAAATTCCTCCTCTACTTTTTTTTCCCTCACAATTTCATCGTCATTTTTAGATTAAAAAATAAATGGTTAATATTTGAACTGCACAGTGCAGAACTACAATATGAAAAAAAACATTTTTAATTTATATGATATATCAATAATAGAAAAATAAATGGTTAATATTTGAACTGCACAGTGCAGAACTACAATATGAAAAAAAAATACATTTTTAATTTATATGATATATCAATAATAGTCTACATTTGAGTACTGTGTAGGTCAAGTTTTAACAATTTAGATTTATTTTTATGTAATATTATATAATAGTTTTATAAAATATTAAATTTAAACTATTCATTTTGATTTAAGGGTCAAAATGGGATTGAGAGGGAAAAGAAAACAGGGGGATTTAGAGAGGATATGAGTCCCTCTTTAAAGGTGTTCTATTTAAGATTTAAAACCCACATGTTGATTCCTACATTTTAGAAAATAAAATTATAATAATTAATATTTTTTGAAATTTAAGGATTAATGTTGTAAATGACTAAACTATAGGAACAGTACGAGCAAAAAATATAAGAATTTAGTTACATCAAATTAGTTGAGAGATTACAATCTGATCAAATTTTAGGAATAATTAACACGCTTTTAGTTACTTAAAAGACATGGTAATGGCAGTAAGCATCAAATATCACAGTAGGTTATGATGTTTGAGGTCTGCACATAGTGAAGTAAATTAACATTTTTTTTTTACTTATAGATATTCTCTTATTGGAAATAATTCTATTCGAGGAGTCAAACACTAAATATAGACACTTCTTCTAGCCGAAATTTGAACCTTAGTTCACTATATTGTGAGGGACTAACCCTTTCCACTAACTCTAACCTCCCGTTGGTAATATAGTTGAAAGCCCATAGGTTTGGTCTGATTAATCTTTTAAAATTTATTTTATTAATATATATTAAAATATGTAGGCTTCTAAGCTACATTTGCTAGGCTTTAGTGGGCTTAAAGCCTATTTGTAGCCTTCAAAGCTTAGAATATGAGGTCCTTTTACGAGTCTACTTTGTAATTAGGTTTTTAAAAATGCTTCAAGCTTGCTAGGCTTTTCGAATGCTCAAGCCTGAATCTGAAAAAATCAGCATGCAGGCTCATACTCAAGTTTTAGATTCTCATTACAGGCTCAAGCCTGTTTGGTGAAATCCTGACTTAGTATGGCATATTTCCATCTTGAGAAATAGGATAGGATGGGACGTGGATACCAATATGTTATTGAAATATTTTTCATATAGTGTAAATTGAAAATCTTAGTTTCCACAATTATAAATTACATTAAACATAATAATAATAATAATTTTTATTTTTAAAAAATATTTATGATCTTAAAACTTTTAATATAGTTTTACAAGATTTGAAGTAATGTAATGTCTTCTAAACTTCATAAGAGGTGAACAAATTGAGAAGCAAAACTTCACACCAAGAGCAAAATTTACGAATACACTCATTGTAACTATAATTTTCAATAGCAAACATACATATTACTCTAATTATAATTTCGTAACTTCATAATTAATATGGATGTGTGTGTATCAACTTTTGATGAAATAAGCAGAGAGCAAACTACCCAAGAAGTCTCAACATGATGACAAGCCCTTAAATCTATATCTAAACAACCTGAAATAAACCAAGGGATCAAATGAAACTTAGAGCCTCCTCTGGGCAACATCGTACAACACAACATTTTGCACGTCTTTAGCACTTTTATTTGGGGGCACTATCATTTGATATATATGTGTGTGTCTGTGTCCATTTTTTTTAGTGCTGGGGTTATCTGTGGTCCTTGAAGATATAATATAATTAATGATCACGTAATTATTACGTAGTCCTTCAAAATTAGTACATCTTTATGGCAAATTTTTATCGACTGATATTGGCCCTTCGAAGAAGACAACCAAAATTTGAGCTTAAGCTCAAATTTTTCAAATATGATGGGCTGGCCTTTTATGTACTCCTTTTTGGTCTTTTAATGAAAAAAAAAAAACTAAATATGAAGACAACCTTTGTACAACAAACCAATCCCTTCAAGCTCGTCACTATCAAATTTCAATCCAAATCCAAGAGGGGTAAAAATAAAAGCCCAGCATATCTCTATAAATATATATATTTTCTTATCTTCATCTTCTGTTCTCTATTTATATATAAAAAAGACATCGGCCTACATATCTATCAACGCAACCGTATGCTTCCTTATCTTTCTCTTTATTTTTTCTTTCCCACAAGCGTAAGTTCAAAATTTAGCAGATGACACAGCCACTATTAGGATACCCATCCACAGTTCCAACATAATAAGGTGGAGCATAATAAACATGGCTGTAACTCGAAGGAGGAGGCACTATCATTTTAGCTATATTCTCTATCCTTTTATCTTCTTTCTTCTCAGACTCTTTGGCTGCTCCAACAGATACTATCTCTGTATGACACAACTTCCTTAGCTTTTCCACCACCTTAACTGGGTCGATGTCTCCTGTTACAGTTAATTTCTTGTCCTTCATGTCCACGTTCACTGACTCAACTCCTGCAAAACAAAACCAAACCTGTCAATTCTTTCCCTTTCATAGAACAACCATATAGTATATATTCTGTTCGATGAGCTAATCTTCGAACGAAACTGGGTTTAAATTAAAACTCCAAGGAATGTGATGTTTTCTGTTTTCACTCGTAAGACTTAAAACTCAGGATTTGCTTAAAGGAGATAGAGTATATACCTGAAATGCCTGAGGTTGTTTTCATGACCTTTTGCCTGGTTCTTTCACCGTGTAGTTCCACCTTCAACACTATTTTCTGTCAGCAGATTAAATAAATCATCAAGCTGCTATCTTAATCAATGCAAGGAGAATCAAAAAAATAATATTCATTAAGACTTTGAAGGAAGTTTGAAAGATTAGGGGTCTGGTTCTGACCTTCATCGTCATTTGCGTATATTGCTGTGTTGAAGCAGACGAGAAAGACAAAGGGAAGGTAGGTTGTGGAGAAGAGGAAGATTAGAATTTAGTAAGATATGGTTCAGTGCGGTGAGGTGAAGATATACGGTAGTCAAATTTATAGATTCATGCTTTGAAGACTCCTGGTAAACCCAGGCCACAGGTTTACCTTGACTAGTCCTTGACGCGTCGCTTAAAGTGACTTGGGTCATCATCTCAGAGAAAGCTACGCGACACACGAATGATGTAGTTTGAGTTTTAATTTAATTCTAAATATAATTTTTCAATTTATTTTTTATATTTATTTATATAATTTTTATCAGTGATTATACATGCTGAATGTTTAATCAAATGATAGTTGTACCTATGATTAGTAAAAATATTTTAAGAAAGATAATATCTATTTATTATAAATAATTATTTTAAAATTTTTTTTATCTATTCAAATAAATCAATTAATTTTTATATTAAAAATCGCATTTCGAATTATTGTTTCTTTTCTTTTGTTTGTATTAGTTAATGGCTTTTGGCTTTTTCAAAAGTGCGCGGCAAAAAGTGGAGAAGACTTTTCCACGAAGGCCATCTTCTCCCTTCTGGGTTTGTTCCTGATCTCTCATGTGGCAACTTTTGAAGAGGCCTAAAAGTTAACAACTGCCACGTGTCTAGCATTGGTCAACTAGAAGTCAATCTGGACCCCACACTCTTTTGTCTTCTCCGTGTCTAATGCGGAGCCTTCCGCTGAATAACTTGAATGTTTCGTGGTGTGTTCGGACACCATGACAGCATGACTTCGTCTCTGGCCTCTTAAATATGATTCTTTTAAAATAAAAGGTATAGAAATAAAAGAGATTTAAAGATAATTTCGCACTGAATACGATTGTTATGAAATTAAAAAGAAATATATAATAGAGGGATGATCATGATTTTAGATAGTAGCTATATGGATCCCTCTTTAAAAGATCTAGATTTTCTCAAAATTCCTACCCCGCTTTTTTTTCTTCTGGATTTCATCTTCAGTTTAACGTAAAAAATGAATGATTTTGATTTAGTATTTCATAGAAATATATAAAAATAAATAAATAAATTTTAAGTATTAAAATTTGATCTGTACAATTCAAAACTACAATATGGGAAAAATATAGAAAAAGTTAATTTATAAAATACTTTAATAGTAGTTCACATTGTCAACTATGTAAGTCAAATTTTAACAATTTAAGTTCACTTTGATCTAAAGATGAAGATGAAATTTTGAGAGGAAAATAAGAAAGGAGGATTTAGAAAGGATATAGATCCTTCTTTTAAAAGTGTTCTCTTTATGATCTGAACTAAACTGCAAATAAAATGTTGGTCTATACATTTTAGAAAATAAAATTACAAGGACTAAAATTGTTTTTTGAAATATATATAATGACCAATGTTTTAAATGACTAAAATTAGAGGAACCAATGTGTACCAAGTTAAAACTATAAAGGCTTAGTTGTACCAAATTACTTTAAAGATTCAGATTGAAACATAACTTTAGGAATAAATGATTAAGAGCTTGTTTAGTTTTTTGTTTTGAAAACAATTTTTTGTTTTTAAAAACAGAAAAACAAAAAACTTTGTTTGATAATTTGTTTTTAGTTGATTGTCTTAAAAAACAAAAAACAGTAACATGTTTTTAAAAATTAAAAAGGCAAAACAACTTTTACATATTTTCTTCTTTTTGCTTTTGTGTTTTTTATTTTTTGTTTTGAAAAATTTTGAGAAATCTTCTTCTCTTCTCACCTACTATGATCCACTGCTTATTATTACCAGTAACAACTATCACTTACCAAGTGTAGTTTTTCATGGTTTTTTCTTTCAAACGTGATTTTCTCAAATTATTATCCAAACAAATTCTTGTTTTTATTTTCAAAAATAGTTCTCATAAACAATTTTATAAAATTGTTTTGAGAACAAAAAAACAAAGAAAAAAAAACAGGCCCTAATTTTCTTAGAAAAATATATGCTCCGAAACATTGAAGAGCGATTACATGTTCTGGAATAAGTAAACGCTTTTAATTACTTAGAGGTCATGATAATAGCAGTAAGCATAAAACATACATACTACTCTGATTATAATTTCGTAATTTCATAATTAATATGTATGAATGTGTGTGTATATAAACTTCTAAGCAAACTATCCAAGAAGTCTCAACATGATGACAAGCCCTTAAATCTCTATCTAAAGAATCTGAAATAGACCACGGTATCACATGAGACTTAGAGCTTCCTCTTGGCAACAACTTACGTACAAGACAAAATTTTGCACGTCTTTGAAACTTTTATTTGGGGGCACCATCATTTGATATCTGTGTGTGTGTGCCCAATTTTTTTTGGTGTTAGGGTTATTTGTTTTCCTTGAAGATATAATATAATTAATGATCACGTAATTATTATGAAGTCCTTCCACTACAAGAAAATGTAGAATTAGCAGCGGAACATTTCTAGCGGTTCAACAAAACCGCTAGAAATTCTAACATTTCTAGCGGTTTTTAGAAAAACCGCTGCAAATTACCGACGGTTTGACCATTGCCCGTAAATTTCTAGCGGTTACCACCTAACCGCTAGAAATTTAGAGCTAGAAAATTTCCTGGGTTTTGGCGGGAACTTGACGCCAAATTTGTAGCGTTTATTTTCTAGCGGTTCAGCCCAATAAACCGCTAGACACTGAAAATTTCTAGCGGTTGATGCATGAACCGCTAGAAATATTTTTAATTCCCCGAGGAGTTTAGAAATTTCTAGCGATTTCCGTATAAACCGCTAGATATTTCTAGCGGTTCAGGTAAAAACCGCTAGAAATTTCTAGCGGTTTTTACCCGAACCGCTAGAAATATCTGCCAATTCCTGATGCACTTGTGACCGTTGGGATTTTCTAGCGGTTCTGTCCAAAACTGCTAGAAATTTCTAGCGGTTTTGTGGAAAACCGCTAGAAATTCTCAGTCTATATAAACCCCCCCACTTTCACTTCTTCAATCGTTCTGGAAGCGAAGCTCTGCTGAATTTTCTCCACAAACATATTCGAGTTCTGATTCAGTTGCAGATCCTTATTTTCAGGTAAAAATAGTAATTTATTGATAAATAATTTTTATTTTATGTTTTATTTTATTTAATTTATTATGTTGTAGCTTATAAATAATTTTTCTTTTTATTTTATTTATAAATAATTACTATTTGTTGTTATTAGGATGACTCGTCGGCACGGGAAAGACCCAGTTGATCCTGAGAGAGTTGGACCCAGTGAGGTTCATCATGATGCTAGTGAGCCATTCCCCAGCATTCATGACTACGATCTCAGCGAGGAGGATATCCTCAGTTTTATAGAGCAGGATGATGTTGAGCGGACTGAGGAGGCTCATTTTACTGGGGATGAGCAACACCATACTGATGCTGATGCTGCTGACGAGGAGGAGGAGGAGGAGCAGGATCAAGGGAATGAGAATCCCCAGGCTGCGCAGCGTCCTGCTCCGAGACGTCAGGCTGGTTATGAGGTGGCATTTGTCGGTAAGTATTTATTTAACTTTTTAAAATTTTGATCAGTATTTAATTTATATAGAAATTGTATTAATTTATTGATATATAATTTATTTCTTAATTAAATTTTACAGACACTGAGGGGAACAAGTCCTATCGGAGGCTGACAGCCAGAGAGCTGTCTATGATGACGAGCGGACGAGTGGTTGTGCCGCTCAATGAGTTGGGCCAACCGACGAAGAAAGGTGGCCAGTTGTACAACAAGTATGTGCGCCTCCTTTGTCAGCAGTGGACGCTGTTCCCCATCTACGTGCAGGACTGGAAGAAGATCACCTCAGACAAGAAGCAGCAAGGTTGGGAAATGATGAAGGTAATATAAAATTGTTATTTATAATTTTTTTTAATTTAAATAAATGATTATATATTTTGTTTTCAAATAATTTAATTGTTTGATTATAATTTTTTATTTATTTAATTTGTTTGTTATTTATAATATTTTTAAAAGTAGTTAAATGAATATATATATTTTTTATTTAAATTATTTAAAAGTAGTTAAATGAAAATAATTTGTTATTGATTTCATTAATTTATTACTTATAATAATTTTAAATTTAGTTGAGTAAAAACATTTTTTCATTTAAATTACTTAATTGTTTAATTATTATTTGTTTTTGATTAATTTATATTTTATTTATAATATTTTTAAATTAGTTAAAAACTAATTATTTGTTTTTGATTATTGAAATTGCTTAATTATTTGTTTATAATTTGTTATTTAGTTAATTTATTATTTTAATCATAGAGTAAATTTATTCTGGGGGAGGAGTTGAGGGCTGACACGATCAAGAGGCTTGGGATGGCATGAAAGAACAGGAGGGCCGACCTGTGGAGGGAGAAGAAAGGTGACGGGACGAGGCCCCTCCAGGAGATACTGGCAAATGTACCTGGTGGAGTCCCGGACCAAGACTGGTCCAGTTACGTCTATTTTAGGATGACGGCTGACCAGATGGTATGATAATATTGTATTAATTATAATTTCTTTATTTTTTATCTGACTTGACTCATTTAATTTAATTTTTTTTACATTTTGCTTCAGGCTCTTTCTAGGAGAAATGCTGGGAGCGTCAGGCATCAGACGATACGTCATAGGGCTGGATCCAGGAGCTTTGCGATCACTTATGACGAGATTGTGAGTACTTGAAATAAATTTATTAAATATGTATATGTATTTAATTTGTAACTAATTATTTCTTTGATTTCATTTACAGAGGGAAAAGATACGGCAGGAGCGGGGATACACAGCCACTTATGGCGAGATGTGGCCGATGGTGTATAGACCTCGAGATGGGCGTGCGTCGGATGAGGTTGAGGAGATAGCGGTAAGTAATAAATTAAATATTAATATAATATCACAGTGTAGATATCATTATATTATAATTAACTTCTTTATATTAATTTTGGTAAGCACGGATGACTCAGGTCGATTCCGAGTTGCGTGAGTCTTAGGGGTTTG